GGTGCTGCCCTGGCGGATGGAGAAAACTTTCTTCATCAACTCCTGCTGCTGGGTCTCGTTAGCCTCGAGGTCGACAACCTGCACGGCACCAGTAGTGCCGTAGCTGCGCTTCATCTGCGCGACCACAGGGTCCTGGGGAGTGCCCAAGGGGTTGTCCACTCCAGGGACCTTAGCGTTGATGACTGCCACCTGCGCCACGCTCTTGCGCGACGTGCTGAGCGTCCGAATCTGGTGGCTCAGCATGAGATCCACAGGGGCTGCCTGGGTGTGCTTCAGCACCGTGGCCACCATTGTTTTCTTGGCCACCACGGAGAGCTCGGACGCATCCGAGTTGAAACTGAGGCTGGCCGCGAGTGGGAGCGCGGCCGCCGCAAGAAGAAGGCTGAAGCCGGGAGCCATCTGGAAGCTATGCAGATACTGTGAACGGAATACGCAGGTGACCACAGCTCCGAACAGATCTCGAGCTAACACGGCTACGGATTCGAGGCTTGGGCAGCTTTGGAGCCACAGTGGGTAAAGAGGAGCGCGCGATCGATCATCAGGGGAGGACGAGGAGGAGAATGCGGAGCAAAAGTTAATGTCCTCGCATTCTTTAGACGGCGCCCGAGGGTACCGAATTAAATTGAGCCGATTCGGCGGAGGTTGGGTAGGTTGAAAAAGGTAGTGCGTGTAGAGAGTAATGCGATCACCTGATTTCTAGCGCTGGATCCAGAAGAAGTGACGGACAAATGCAGTCCAGCCGCTACCATAAGGAATGCACAATAAGAAACGAGGCCCCTGTTTGCCCCCCAGGGCGCCTGGGTGTACGAGAAGTGCTGGAGGAACAACCATCGAATAACCTGAGGAACGGTCAGCGCCTTCCGAGCCCAACATGTTCCATATTCGGACACCTCCCAAATCGGGTTCGAGTAGATGGGGCCGGAGGATTGCGCCGCATCGCCGATGCATCGGCGCCGTCGGCGTGAAACAACATCGTGCTCCGCACCGAGCCGCATCTGCACCGAGCTGCATCTCCGATGCATCGGCGATGCGGCGCGATCCCCCGACTCCACCTGCACTCCAGCGCCGTGGCTGGGCAGGACGAGGACCGGAGCGGGGCGGATGGCGACAACGGCAAGCTCAAATCGGCTCGCGGACCCCTCCCGTGGTGCACACGCGCAAGCTTTCCGGGCGGCGTCCGCCGGTGGGCGACGGGGGGGTCCTCGAAGGCCAACTACCCCTTGCCTCAGCTCGCCCTCCTCAGATCGACTGTAGACACGAGGCGGGTCGCGCACGACGAGGCGGGGGATCTGCAGAAGCGCCTCGGCCGCGCGCCACCTCGGGGCCCCCGAGGAGACCTCGACATCCCAAGAGACCTTATCGCGCAGTCCGTCACCGCACGGTCTTTGGGCCTCGGAGGCCCCGTTCGTCCGAGATGTCCTCGGAGAACGACCCATGTCCCAAAACCGTGCGGTGACACCTTGCGGTGTGGTCACCACACAGTCTGGGCCCTCCCAACCCCACCCGGGAGGCCTGGAGATCCGAGTGTCTCCCAGGCATCCTCCGACATGACCTTCTTCAGTCCGCACTCACAGAGCTCTCGACCCCTGCCCTGGGGGTAGTTTTTCTGGCGTCGCGGATCCATAGTTGGTGGTCCCAGGGCCAGACACGGGGCCCTTGAGGCCGAAACAAACACTGAAACAAGGCCGAGGGGAGGGGGGGATGGGCGAGGGGAGCGAGGAGGATAAAGGAGGAGGAGGAGGAGGAGAAACACCTGGACTGAAACAAACATATCGTCGGATACCTGGGCTTGGCTGCAGGACGACGGGGTCGGGCACGACGAGGCGGAGGATCTGCAAAAGCGCTTCGGCCGCGCGCCACCCCGATGGCAGCGGCGCCGGCGTCCTCGAGGGGCACGGACGGGGAGGGACTGGCAGAAAGGGGGGGAACATCGACCTGGAGTCGGCGATGCATCGCTGGCAGATCGGCGATAGGACCCCGATAGCAAGTCCCAGCGCCCCTGGGCGGGGCGGGCCCATCGTGCCCCGATCGGCGACGAATTGGCGACTGGGGGTCACTGCATCCATGCCTGGGTCTATTTCGGCGACTCCGAAGGGTGCGACTTGCAACCCGCACCCTGGGAGACGGGCGAGGACCTCGACAGAGTTCTCCGCCGCGCCCCGAGGAGACCCGACGAGGGCAAAGTGGGGCCCCCAGAGCCCCAACGACACAGATCGCAAACGACACCCTGGCGTAACCACACCCTCCATAGTCGGCGGCGCGCACAAGGGAGTAGGTGGAAGCCTCCTTACAAGGATGCTGCTTATTAGAAGGCGTCGGCCCTACACCTATAGAGAAAGCTGGTGCCCTCTACGAAGCAGTCTCCTCCTCCTCTAAGAAGCCTTCCCCCATTCCCCCCTGTGCGCGTGGCTGACCCATATTGTTGTCCATGAGTCCTCCCGGAGCTGGCCCAGCATCGGCGTGGCGCCGGTGCCCTCCCGCCTGGGCGCTGTGGGCTGACCTGCGCAAGGTCGGGGGGGTGGGGGGGGACGGCAGAGAGCAGGCGGACGAGGCCGTCCTCTGCTGCTCCTGCGGCTGCTGCTCCTGCTGGTGCTGCTGATGTTCACTCTCCTTCCCCCTCCTCCTCCGCCTCCGCCTCCTCCTCCTCCTCCTCCTCCCTCCTCCTCCTCCTCCTCCTCCTCCTCCCCTCCTCCCCCTCCCCCCCTTCCTCCTCCTCCTCCTTCCTCCTCCTCCTCCTGCTCCTCCTCCTCCTGCTCCTCCTCCTCCTCCTCCTTCCTCCTCCTCCTCCTCCTCTCCCTCCCCCCTTTCCTCATCTCCTCCTCCTCCTCCTCGTCCTCCTCCTCCTCTGCTGTTGATGTTGATTCCTCACCGATGGCGAGCACCTCTTCACTGAAGCACGCATATTTCGAAGGCACGCATTTTCCACTGAAGGCGCAAATTGCTGCCGAAACCAGGTTTTTGAAGGCAAGCCGAAGGCCAAGCATTGTTTGCCTCCATGGAGAAGTTACACCTTAAGCATCAATGTCTGCCTTCAGTGAATTATTCTGGCCTTCAGTGAACTGAGACTTACCTTCAGATGTGTTGCTAACATCTTCCTGGTCGCGGGGCGCCCCCATTGCCCTCCCCGCGCCGCTTTCTCGGCCGCCAGGCCATTCCACCTCCTCAAGCCTGCCACTGTCCCCCAAGCCTTCTGGCGGCTCGGGCGGCCAGGTCGCCCCCTCCAGCTGATCTGGGATCGCTCGACGTTTTGCCGCCTTGCACGCTGTACTCCAGATTTCGTAAGAAAGGGAGGGGGGTCTCATTTCGGGGGGGGGTCTCTTCCAGGCTATCTTGGAGGGCCTGGGGGGGTCTGGGGACGATGTTTTGGAGGGTTCTCCCACGGGGGAGGTCTGAAATGGCTTGTCTTGGAGGGTCCAGACCCCCTCCCTTTTATTACGACATCTGGAGTACCTATCTGCAGCAGCAGCAGCAGCCCTGTGTGTGTGCGCGTCTGCGCTTCAAACAGGTCTCCTCGGCGCGGGTCGCCCTCCTCCTCCTCCTCCTCCTCCTCCTCCTCCTCCTCCTCCTCCTCCTCCTCCTCCTCCTCCTCCTCCTCCTCCTCCTCCTCCTCCTCCTCCTCCTCCGCCTCCTCCTCCTCCTCCTCCTCCTCCTCCTCCTCCCTCTCCTCCTCCTCCTCGTCTTCGCCCTCCCTGGCTTCTCCTGCCACTCCCCTGGGGCCCGGACCCTGGACGCACGAAGCTACGGTGCGCTCCCCCGCTCCGCTTCTGCCTGCCGTGCACGCGCGTGGGCGCCACGCTCGTGCCGGTGATGTGTTGGCCCCCTGCCGCCACGCCACCGCTGCCCTGGCCTCACCGCGCGTCGGCCTGTTTCCCGCGCAGGGTTTGAGTTCCTGCCCCCGCGCAGCTTCACGCAGTATGCTTCTCGGGCACGTCAGCCTTCCGATGCCTACCAATTTCATTATTAATATTAGTATTATTACTGATATTATTATTAAAATAATATTAATATAAATATGATTATTAGGATGATGATTATTATTCTTATTAATAATAATTCGCTCTGTCAGGTCTCCTGTTGTGGCTCTCGGTCGGCCGCTTGCAGTGGTGCCATTCAAAAGTATTCGGGCCTGCATCTCGATCCGAGCACGCCTCGCGTCAAGCCCATCGTCGCACACACCCGCACACACACACACACACCTCCTGCTATTCCTGCTCCTCCTCCTCCTTGTTTCGCGCGTGCCGTCCGGCACACCCCTCGCACGGATCGTGTCCAACACGGAGCTCCACCTGCAGCCCCAGCGGAGGTCCACATGCGTCCCCCGCCTGGCATACCCCTCAGATGGACCGTGACTCACCTGCTGCTCCTGCTCCTGCTCCTGCTCCTGCTCCTGCTCCTGCTCTTCCTGCTCCCTCTTGCCCTCGCCTTCCGCCGGCCCCTCCCCTTTCTCATTGTACCTTTGCCTTGTCCTTTTTACCCTCCGCGCGGCCTCCTCCCTCGCCAGCCCCTCCTGCTGCCACGCTTGCTCATTCTCTCAGGCGCCTGGCTCGGGCCGCAGCAGTTCCGGCCGCCGTTGCGTCCGAAAACCAAGCCACATGAACTGGCCCCAACGTCGGTCCAGGCGAGCCGAAACAGCGCGCCAGTCTCCACGTCCAGACTGGGGCTTTTGTTTTCTCAGGCCATCCCCGATTCCTTATCATCCTTCTCCTGATTCTTCCCGTCTCCTGCGCACTTCCGATATCGAAACCCTCCAGGCCGCGGCAAGCACCGGAGAACCCCGTTGCTTATCGGGGATCGTGCCATTCCCATTCTGCCAGCCCCACAAGTGCTGCTTCAGTCCCACCAGTTCCGATTGCGCCATTTTGCTGGCGCGGGGAGACGGCGTGACAGACCCTGGTAGGCATCGGAAAACCGGTTGATTTACCAAGGACCGTACCTTCCCACTCCGCCATCCCCGCAGCACCGTTTCAGTCCCACCAGTGCCCTTTGTCCCAGCGCCTGTTCTCACAGGGAGAGTTCGCCAGACCGCAGGGAACCTGCGACAGACCGCGGCAGCCATCGGGGAGCTTTGATACTTGTCGGGGCGTGTGCCTTGTCTGGGGAAACCAAAAGGTACCAATACCGCTACTCCCCGGACCTCTCCTGGGGTGCGTTCTGACCATGATCTCGAGGCGAATCCAGCGGCGGCGACGACGGAGCCACAGGAGGCCCAAAAAGGGGGAAAACGAGGGGAAGGTAGAGGTATGGGTGCCTTTTTTCCTCCTCTGAGAGTCTCTCCCCAACAACCACACCTGGACACAATACCCCATTCCGCCCCGCCGGTGCCGCACCGCTTGCCCCGCGGCCTGCCGCTTTTCTGGGAGAGCACGCCGGACCGCCCAGGAAGCCGCGGCGTACCACAACGGGTCTGCGGTCGCAACTCGAGGGGCCCAAGGCCACACAAACAAATACACACAGATAACAGGATTCCCCATATTTTCTTATATTTTTCTGGGTTTTTGTCTTCCCCCCACTTCCCATATTTTCCTATATTTTCTGGGAGTCGACGATTCATTGAGTCTGTGTGTTTTTCCCCTTCTGATCAACTGCCTTGTCGGAACCGTCATGCCTTGACTGGCGCACGTGTGGCGGTTTCGATTCTTCAACGCTCAGCGCCCGTCGCCTTTCTCTTGAACAGCGCGAACAGAAACCACCGCCACGCATCAGTCGTCGTCATCGCAATCATCCCCACTTTGACTATAGTCTTCCTCTGTGTCATCCGCCTCGTGCTGCTCATCTTGGCGTGCCTCTTTGTTGTCGCACTCTCGCCCTGATGACTTCATTCGTGTCGAGGGCAACATGTGGAGAGGACCGTTGCGTGGGAAAGGGGTACGGCGGAGGAGCGAGAGAACACTGAATAATGTCGCGCGTGCACCTCGTTGTTATAATCCTCCCGTTTCGTGTTTGCGCGCCCTTGGCTCTGCGCACCCGCGAGTGCGCGACTAAATGAACAACTATTTGGGGAACTCCAGCAACGTCCAGAAAAAAAAACACGCATGGCCCAACATGCGGACACGCAATGCTGAATCCAGACTCGCGCTTGTTGGAACACGTGTTGGAGCACTGCTTCCATGCGTTTGCATGCAGGTGATCGGTACTCAATGTGGCTCATAAGAGCCTCGCGAGGGCGCGGAACGTCAGCCCGCTGAAGAAATACTTGAACGGAAAAACCGAACCAAAGGGCCCCCAGGAAGCTCCAAGAGACTCCCAAAAGGCCCCAAGGGGCCCCCCAAGAGGCCCCAACACGGCACCTGAGCGGCCCCCAAGAGGCTTCAAAACTGCCTCCAAGAGGCCCCCGAACAAAAGGCCCCCCCCACGAGGTTCCAACGAATATCCCCTAGGCTTCTTACCAACAGCTGAGGCACGGCGGCGGGACCTGCAGTCGGCAGCTGGATGCTTGTATCCTAATGAGTCCTGCTTGTCTTAGCTTGATCGGGGCATGGCCTGGACTGCGGACACTGGAGTGACGCCCTACGCAAGCTCAGATTCGACTTCATCACCCGGGGGGGGGGCCCGATCTGCGAAGCCGTCGCCACTTTCGAGGGCCTCTCTCGGAGTGACGCCCTAGGCAGACCCGAATCAGACCTCACCATCCCTGGGGGGCTGCGACATGCGAGACTGTCGCCACTGTCGAAGGCAGCTGGGGGTCCAGCGCAGTGACGTCCCGCGGAGACTCAGGGTGACATTGACACTTTTCCCTCGCGGACCGCCCGAAGACCTGTTGGCGCGCCTGCGGGCGCTTAGCTCCCGCGTTGCAAGGTGCCCGAAGGAAGCGGGGAACCTAGCGGGCGAGCTCGATGGCGCTCGCTTCTTGCTCTAGCTATGAATAGATGGCCTTTGGGAGCGCCAGGGCGACAGGGCGCGGGCCGCGCTGCTTGAAAAAACAGATCGCCACCCTCCTTCCTCATCGTGCCTATTTCGTGGTGGTCACCTTCAACTTTCATCGCATACTGCTGCTGTCGCGTCAAGTGCTCCGCCCGTTTTCCGTCGTTTTCATCCCCCTCGTTCCCACCCCCATTTCCTCTTCGAGCCTAGGACCTCAGTCCTCGTCCTTCTGTTATTCTCCTGTGACTCGCGCGTCGCGCGCGTTTCCCATACAGATCGCACATCTAGTGCTCACCCCGTGCTGTCATCAACCGCACTAGTCTGGACCAAGACGGCGCGTCGCAAGGCAATTGTGGTCCAATACTTACCGCGATATGGCAAACGTGGCACTTGGGCACCCCACGGCGGAACCGCCAGAGGTGGGGACACTCCAGGTGTCGCGGTCGGATTGGGGGATATCTGCGGCGGTTTGTTTGTTTCTGACCCAACCGGACGTGTTTTCTTTGGCGGCCCCGATAATGCAGGCGTGTCACTTGGGCACCCCAAGGGGGGGGCCAGCAGGGGTGGGGACACTCAAAGATTCACGCTCACATTGGGGGGGATGTCTCTGGCGGTTTGTTTGCTTCTGGCCCCCAACCT